GCTGCTGGGCGGTGCTGTTGGCCGCACTACCCTCCTGAGATCGTTCAATTTCCCTTTCTAGGGTTCGCTTAGGGCAGCTGGATCGAAGATGGCCCTTTTCCCCACAGCCATAGCACCTTGGGCTGTATCCTTTGTTGCGGTCGTGAACTGTAGCTGCTGCAACCTCCCTGACGCGATGGGAACGATGATCCTGCCGCACGGCTTCCACTTCCAGTGCATGGGCCAAGGCGTCCTTAAGCGTCTCGTGGTGCCCGAGCCTCACAGCAGCTCTGACTTCCAGGTCGCGGATGCCGTCGATGAATGTCTGCACCAGGTTCCCTTCAATGAGCGCAGGTACAGACCGGTATGCTTTTCGCACCAGCTTCTCCACTTCTAGAGCCCACTGCTGCAGGTTTTCGTTGATGCGCTGCACACGATCTTTAAGCTGCGCACGAAAGACGTGTTCCAGGTGAGCGTCGCCATATCTCGCCTCCAATGCCTCAAGGAGTTGCTCATAAGTCACTTCCTCACCGAGAGCTTCCAGAACTGTTAAGGCCTGGTCGCGCAGGCCTAGTGTGAGAGCAGTCATGGCCTGACTTTTATTCCAGCCGTTCGTCTTCATAACAACCTCGAACTGGATTTTGTAGGCTGACCAGGAAGAAGTCCCGTCGAATGGTGGCACCTTGAACCCACGTAGCGAAGGTGTAGTAGCTACTACGGGAGCTGTAGTTCCATCCCCCAGTTTGAGGTCGTCCAGCGTTTTCTTCACGTCAGCCATCACTTAATCAACCCGATTGTTTACTTGGTCGATTTGGGTTTTAGCTTCCTTGATTTGGGTTTCAGCTTCCGACAGGCGGTTGTCATGTTGAGCAACCCTATCCTTCACCTCCCTAATCTCTTTCCCGAAGTTAGCGTGAATGTCCTTCACGAGGAGCATCTGCTCTTCCTGTCGGCGGGCCTGTTCCTCCTGCTGCTCTTTCAATCAACGGGCCTGTTCCTCCTGTCGACGGGCCTGTTCCTCCTGTCGGCGAGCCTGTTCCTGCAGCATCACCATCAGAGCACCTAAATCGGGTGCTGCAGATGTAGGAGCTACTGACGGGCCTGCAGCCGGCGGCTGGCCCTCCGACGTCTGCGGCGTTGCACCACCAAATCTTCTTTGGTCCGTCTCCTGCTGGCGTTGATTTCGGGTACGGACACCCTCCGTTTCCTCCTTAGGTAAAATCGGCATGATTTTATCCCACTTCTGACACCAATTGTTACGAGCTTGAGGTTCGTGACAATAAAAATTGCCGATAAAATTACCTATATTAACACTTTAATTCACTTTACACAAATTAAAACTAAAAACACTAATAATTAAACACACTAATTCACTTAATTCCGCTCCGAAGCTTCGCTTGTGTCGCCGAGTTCAACTCTGCCCCGATCGCATCTTGCAGCGCCTATTTATATAATTAGCAAAGAAGCGTCCCGAACATTCAAGTAAATGCGCGCCAGGCAACGAGTATTCGAGTGTAGATTTTCCAGAAACTTAGTTCTTCGGGTGGCGCTGTCGGTCGAAAGATTTGTGATGTCATTTACTGCAAAGCTCCCCTCGCTCTCGTTCCTGACACTAGATGGCGCTAGTTGACTTATTCATGCAACAATAATATTTATATAAAATATTGCAATTTTTATTATTAATAAAATATATCAGTTTGCCTTATTAAGGGGAAATATAGTCTCAAATGGCTTAGCAAGATCCTTCGTTATACCGAAAATATTGCAGCATTAATTTTGAAATAAATATATGGTAAAGTTGAGGATTAATGTTAAGGATTATGTTAGACGAAAACACGATTTCATAAAATTTTCTCGATAAAAAAAAATCCAAAGTTATTTTGGAAATAAACAATAAACCGCTGTTATTCATAAAATACTTTAAATCATGAAACTTTGCATACTAACTGAACTAACTATAAAGCAGTGCTTATGTTATTTACTTTTTTTTAAAACCTAACCATTATTTTCACTGTAAAAAAGAAATTACCTAAACTATCGGCCTCTTGAAGCGTGATTCTTGCCGCCCGGTCACTTCGCTTCGGCCTTTAAAGGGGGAGGTTGTGTCGCTTACGATCAGAATATACATTACGCAATAGGACGACGTAAAATTAAAATGGGAAATAACCGTAATAAAAATAAGAAGCGACTGGCTTGGCGTTAAGAAACAGGCATAAATATGATAAACCTAATGAAATAAGTGTCTAACGACCTTTCTACTTACAGTATTAGTGATTACAGACATGTCGGTACATAGCATACGACGCCCGGGGTAGTGAGGGCGAAATTAGAATTTGAGCTGACTTACTTATATCCCCTTAAGTTAAGCTGCGTTTTAAATTAATATTATTCACCGATCAATTTCAACATCTTTTACAAAATTTATTCATTGCGTTGGCGTTTATCTGATAGCAATATTATGTTAAATATTTTAGAACAAAATAGATAATTAAAATAAGCACGCTAAAGCAATAAGGATATTATATAGGCACTTGCTTTCTATTGAGATGTTCGGTAAAAAAAAACCAATCTAAATATGAGTGGTGACTAAAGTTATTATATTTTTAATATTATGAAATTAGAATTTTAAAAGAGATAAATATTTAAAATCACTCACCTTAAAACATAATCACATAATTTGCATTTTATACAGTAATTGTTTTGCAGATACATCAAGCATATTTTTCACATTATAGTCTCTATAAAATTTTTTTTGTTTCTTGCATATAACATACTTTCTGTTTTCTTGTAGATGGGGTACACGAAAAATTTAGTCCTCTTAAAAACTGGCCACTCGATTAAATTCTTGATAATTTTATGTTTTGATAAATATCTCCTTTTTGTTTCGCTTGGTTGCTACGAGTTTTTGAAAATTGTGTATATATCTTGATAGTGTAAAATTTCCTATATGAACGCCATTGCGTACTTCAATTTAGATCTTCTCAACCAACATTCTTCTTATCCGGAGTGAAAAAGTTATTTCTCTTATCTTCTTTTCTCCTTTTTGATGCATCTTTGCCTTTTGATTTTATACTTCTATGTTTTATTTATATGTTTTAATTTTGTTTTGTAAATATTTATTCACAATGATATAACTTTTCGATTGCTGGCTCTACACGACTTTAATTTTCTCAATCCGGGAATGTGTAATAATTTTTAATATACAATTTTTTACGTATTTATTATAACTTTACTATCGGTGGCCAGCCGGTGCACGCAGCGAGCGGAGTCGAGAGAAGAGACGAGAGAAATGAAACGCTTGAGTGTTGACGTAAGACTGTCTGTAATTCTCTATTATCTTGATGTTAGTGCTGTTAGTCTATGCGACTCTTACAGCTTCATCTTGTCTCAGGGCTCGCGGCAAGCTAATTAAAAAGGGAAAGGCAATGAGGTGAAAATATGATGAGATCGTTTATGATTTGATATTGTTACCAATCATCATGTCGCCTTTTAGGTGTTTTTCTTTGAGCTATCTAACCGCAGTCCAAGGGGGCGTGTGCGGACCCCCCGTCTCTGACTGCTCAGCTCGTGTCGGTCGATGGTCTGGGCGGTGAGAACCGTCCAGGAACGCGGGTGTACGGTGTGTACGCGGTGTGAGCTGGAACGCGTCGTGCCCGTCTGCGGGTGCGACGCGTCCCATTCGTTGTCCTATTTGTGTTTGTCCCATTTAGTGTGGGTGTAGTGTCGTTGAGTGATGTGCCTGCGACGTTTTGGTGGACTGGATCGAGCGATAGAGGTGGTTCTATTAAAACATTTCGCGTTCTACGGAGATAGGGCGCGACGTTTGTTATCGGAACGAGTCTGTAATTATGTTATTAATAAGTTTATATATTAGATTATACCCAAACATACGTATAGGTACTAGGTAGATACTACAAAGACAGCAAGAAATTTTACCTGTTTCCTTTTGTTTGTCGCGTTTCAAAAATTGTCGTGCTTTATGGGTTATTTGTTGGATACATATGAATCCATTTCGCAATCAACGAATGAGTCGACACTTGTAAATATTGATATTTTTGGTAGTCGATTCGCACAAAGATAATCTTTGCATTATTTGCATTGGAATGGTGAAACAAGTTCCAGGGTAAGTAGGCACGGGTTTACTCATATGCTCGGAGGAATCAAATCCAATACGTGTACGTAAGTACATTTTACTATTGTTGTGTTGCTGATCTTTTATTTGGCACAAATGACTAAATTTCGTCATGCCTGAGACTTAAAAAACAACAAAGCATAAATAAATAAATGAAACGAACGGTTTGTTTGTGTACAAAAATATGTTAAATAATTATAAGCTGTGTGCAAAAGGTTTGCATATTATCCATAGAATACTATAATAGACAATAGAATGGCTTTCAACTTTATTTTAAACGAGGACTGGCATCGCCAAACCCGATTCGCTGTGTTGACAAACTGAGTAAATTTACACATTTTAGACTTTTGATTAATGTTCAAGATCACCATTAAATTTTAATACATATTGATTTGTTATTAGGGTGCAATTTGGCATTTTCTAAATAATTTGCATGCGAAATTTGGAAACGATTGTAACGTCAAAACACATCTCGTGTTGACATTTATACGTGTGAATTGACATGTTAGTGGCATTTTAGTGGCTACACGGGCTTCGCTCACTCCCCCGTTCTATTATGTATGTATTAAAGTATTCTATGATATTATCACACCTCCCTTTCTGTCAACCGTCCAATGTTATTCTACTGAGCAAGGTTAGCCAAGTAGATTTTCCGTAAACGCTATCGCTAAAAGAAAAAGAAAACTATAAAAATAAATGAAAATGATATCATATCTCAAAATTACGGAAATAATTTAGATTTTATTAATTTTCATAGTTTTCTTTTACGTGGACGACTGTAGAAAGTCAACTTGGCTAATCGCGCAGTGCCGCTATTAACGCTTTGATCGACGTATGATATGATGACGCTGTGAAAACATTACGAGCGCGGGTTGTACTGTTACTGTACCGTTGGAAGCGTGTTTGTAGTGATGTTGAGGTGCAGGATGCTGGGCCCGAGTAGCCAGGTACTGCTGATCCCGATTCACTTTGTTCTGCAGCTGGGCCACGGAGGGCGACTCGCCAACACCGACTTCCGGTGCGGTCGTCTCCGTGGTACCAGCTTCTGTTATCACAAAGTATTTTGTTACATGCAGCGGCGGTTAAGCAAAAACATTTCTTTTTTAATCTCAGTAATGATATTGTTGTTGATTTTCTGTTATTACTTATAATATATTTATATAATATGTTATATTTACTATCTCATCTAGAATTTTTAATCAAATATCTTTTACTCGTCTTTGACATATTTAATACCACGTTATGACAGATAAAAAAATGAGAGTAATATGCTTACTGTTTCGGCGCACTAGAAATACGATGGCTACAAGTGCAGCTAAAACCAGGAGAGACAAAGCTGCAGGAAGGAGGACCCGAACACCACCCAAAGATCTTGTCCCGGCCGCTGGCACCGCTGGTGATATCTCACCTTCCACAACTGTGCCACATAAACACACGAGAATACCCCATCAATCTTAGATATTAGGATTCTATTATATCAAATTATTAGAATATACTTTTCGATTAAAATTAATAATAGAAGAATTTATTTACAATGAGATATCAATTCAGTTAATATTGTGTTTTAATATATTAAATTGTCTTACAAATGTTATCATAGCCACTTGTCATAGCCTATTTTTGTGTTCGGTGTAACACATAAGCAATACCTAATATAAGTACAATTTGGCTCGACCGTGAAAGAAGGACCATGCTCTCACAGAATACTAACTAAAAATAGCGGTATGATGCTGCTATGTTTCGAATGGCGAGTGTAGAAGACCGGAAACCCTTTTCTCGAAACGAGGCATTCCATCTCAGTTCTCAGGGTTGTATGATACACAAACGACATCTATGTCGTATGGGTCACAAACGACATAGATATTCTGAAAAAAGGTACGAGCGTATAATTTATACACGTTAAAGTTAAAGTTACAGCCGATATGTCCCATTGCTGGGCACAGGCCTCCTCTCATTTATGAGAGGGTTTTAGGGCAAGAAAAATATCCGCCACGCTGCCCCAACGCGTGTTGATGAACTTCGCATGTCTCTGAAATATTTTTTTTCTTATTTTTCAGACATGCCGGTTTCATCACGATGTTTTCTTTCACTGCAATTAACAATTACATTGTAAATTTATGGCAACCGTTTAGGCACTGAGTTACCACGGTTCTTATATAACGTTTATATATATGTTGTAAATAAATCAATTCATTTCTTGTAGTTTTTGTAAATAATATGAAAGATTACCGTCTATGGATATTCGCGGCTACATATGGTAGAGATGTTATGAATTCGTAGAGCAAATTATGTATGTGAAATGTATATTTTTAAGGCAACAATGTATTACGAATATTTATTATTATTTGAAATAATTTCGAAGTTAGTGATGGAGATAGCAATGAACAAAAAAAAGAAACAAAACAAATTTTGCACTTGAATCTAGGTTAGGAGCAAAGATTTTAACAATTTTTTTTATGGGATAAGGCCGACAAACGAGCACACAGTCCACCTGATGGTAAGTGGTCACTGTAGTCCATAAACATCTACATCTATCCTCGATTATAAATCAAAATGCAGATGCGTTATCACCCGTGAGGATTAAGATGGACTGCCTCGTTTTCGGTAAAATGAGTCTCCGGTTCTCTACATTCACCATACGAAACACAGCTGCATTGAACTGTTATTTTACGCTGGTTTTCTGTGAGAGCGTGGTTTTTTCCCGGTCGAGCCGACCCATTCATGCTACAACTACACTACCAATATAGCTGCAGCATGACCTTACCACAAATAACTACATGATAGCAAATGTTTCAGTCTCTACATGGGCTGCATTGTATAGAAAATTTAATTAATTAATTTATTTAATCGGAAATCCCTCGGTTAACAAAAAACAGAGTAGGTGGAAAACAATTAAGCAATAGGAAACCATTTATGGGTTTTCGCAAATAGTGGCACTATATAAATAATTGCATGCGGTGAGTTACCGCCAGCTAATAGGACACTGTCGCACCAACCGTAAGCTTAGTTTAGTAACATCGTGCATTAAATAACTAAACATTACAGATTAACAAAAGCAAAAATATAAAAAATAATATAAAGTAAAGAGAAATATAAAAGATCATCAGCTGGAATCGAAAAAAGGCTTACTCAGAACTCGTCTCGCCGAAATGATACTTGTGTTGAATAGGTCTAAGTTAAACAATTGGGATACAGTATTAAAATTTTTGCTCGCACGGTACATGTAACTATTCTGCCTACAACGTCAGGATCGTGCTAAATGGAAGTCTGTAGTCTCTGCCTACCCCTCTGGGTGACAAGCGTGAGTGTTTATGTATTATGTATATGTATTTTTGGTAGTAACGAGGCATTCCATATTAACCCTGAGGAGTTAACGCAACCGCACTTTGATTCTTAATTGAGGATAAATATAAGTGTATTGTATAAACCTATTACGGACCACAGCATTAACTTAACGTTACCTAGTATCTACAGGTTGCGTAAACTAGGCGCCAGCACTAGAGTTTTGTCTACCGATCATACGATAGTATCGTAAATTGATAACGACTTCCAATCATCCAATTTTATTCTCTCACGTCACGCGTGATACGATTGTAAGGCTTAGTTTTCACAAGAGCTGTGCGAGTTAGCTAAACAGTCTTTGCTGCGGGTAGTGATAGTGGGACCTTTCGTTTAACATTTTTTGGAATTTTGATATTTAACTTCTCAAGTAAATCTGGGCAGTCGATTTCGCTTGAAGCTATCTTAAGTAGAAAGGTAATACCTGCTATCTGCCTTCGCATCTCGAGTGGTAAGAGGTGGAACTTTCTACACTTATCATAGTAGAGGTTAGAGTTGTAGTGGTCGTTTACTAGATAGCAAAGGTGTTTAATGAATTCTGAATGAATCATCTGGATACGTTCAATTCGAGATATATAGGTTTTATATTGAGGGTTCCATATCTGTGATGCATATTCCAAAATACTTCTTACGTAACAACAATACAAAGTTTTACAATGTTTTAATTTGTTTAAAGTTTTTAGAGAAACGCATCACAAACCCTAAGGCTCTGGCAGACCGGCCAATGATATTTTCGATATGTTTATCGAACAGAAGTTTCGAGTCGTGTATAACTCCCAAGTCGCGTACGGAACAATCTCTGGACAACAATTTATTAAGTTTACGGCTAAATGTCACAACTGAGCATTTTGTAGGACTGAGATTGAGATGGTTATAGGTACAATAATCAAGTAAGTTTCTCAAGTCATTTTGTAATGCTTCTGCGTCTTTTAATAAAGAAATATTTAAATTTTCATGTCATCTGCGAAACATAATAGACGAGAGTTACATAGACAGTTGTTGATATCATTGTCAAAAATAGCAAAGAGTAAAGGTGCCAGTAGCGAACCCTGGGGAACACTACTAGGGATCTTAACCCAGCCAGAAATGTAATTATTTACCACTACAGCTTGTGTACTGTTCTCAATATACGAGGAAAACCAGCGAAGTAAATCTCCGCTTATGCCAACACATTCAAGCTTGTATAGGAGGCGACTATGGTTAATCCGGTCGAAGGTCTTACTGTAATCAATATAGATGACATCAATTTGTTGGCCTTTATCCATGGAATCAGTAAGAAAGTCATTGAGTAGAGCAAGATTAGTGACAGTAGATCTACCAGGGAGGAAACCATGCTGAAAGTTGTGAAGTGATTGTCTAATAGCTAAATATAATTGAGAGTACACTATTTTTTCGAGGACTTTACTTAGTATGCATAGTTATTTACTTGGAAATAAGGCCTGATACTCTAGAGCTCTCTATAATGATAATAAATACTATGCTTTTGACTATGATATATTAATTGACTATGAGCTATCTATAATGATAATAAAGACTGACTGCCAGTCAGCGAGTGCGTGGTGAAATTGTAGAGAGCTAGTGCGTGCCCGGCGTTGTTGTGCGCGGTGATGCGGAGCTGGTAGTGCGTAGCCGGCGCGAGCCCCGTCACGCTGAACACACGCTCAGTTGCCTGCACGCTGTTCGACACCAGTCGCCACTGTAACAATCAATCACTAAGTTAAAATAAAAATGTAAAGGACCATGCATAAAGTACCTATAAGAGCCGTGGTAGCTCAGTGGTTAACGCTCGCTGTAAATATAACAGAACGCGAGTAACCCGGTTTCGATCCCCGCCGGCACCAATGAAATTGTTAATTGCAATTTTAAGTGCTGATTTACCACGAGCTCGGCGGTGAAGAAAAACATCGTGAGGAAACCTGCATGTCTGAGCAATAAGAAAAAAAATATTTCGAAGACATGTGAAGTTCGTCAACACGCATTTGGGCAGCGCGGCGGGCACTTCCTTGCCCTAAACCCTCTCAGAAATGAGGGGAGGCCTGAGCCCAGCAGTGGGACGTATATAGGCTGTAACTTTACTCTACTTAAGCTTAAAAGTACGCAATTAACAATTTCATTGGTGCCGGCGGGGATTGAACCCGGTTTACTCGCGTTCTGTTACATATTTTTTATAGAAGAGGGGGCAAACGAGCATGCGGCTCACCTGATGTTAAGTGACTACCGCCGCCCATGATCAACCGCAACACCACGGGAATTGCAGGTGCGTTGCCGGCCCTTTAGAAAGGAGTAAGCTCTTTTCTTGAAGGTCCCCAGGTCGTATCGGTCCGAAAAAATCGCCGATGGTAAACTATTCCACAGAGTGGTTGTACGCGGAAGAAAACTCCTTTTGAAACGTACAGTGGTGGACCGCCAAGCATCCAGATGGTGTGGATGGTATCGGGACGTTTGCCGCGTAGTGCGTTCACGAAATTTGGCGGCTGGGAATAATCCGAACATTCAGCACTCTTCATATATGCGCAAGAAAATGCAAAGAGATGCAACATCTCTTCGCAGTGCCATAGAATCGAGCCGATCGGAAAGCACTCGGTCGTCGACGACTGGAGCCGCTCTGCGCTGGATGCGGTCAAGTGGAAGGAGCTGGTACTGGGGAGCCCCAGCCCAGAGATGGGAATAGTATTCCATGTGCGGCCGAACCTGCGCCTTGTAAAGTTGCAGGCGGTGTGCCGGCATGAAATACTGTCCCGCTGTGCTGAGCACGCCAAGCGTTTTAGAGGCCAATTTGGCCTTCTCTTCCAAGTGACCACAAAACTGCACGTCACTCGATATGTAGACGCCGAGGATTCCGATACTGCTTAGGCAAAAAGGGGAGTGCCTTGAAACTAATACAAAGGTTCTTTTTACGGTTAACGCGCAAACTTGTGTCTTCTGGGGGTTAAACTGGACTAGATTTAGTCGCCCCCAATCCGAGACTCCGTTCAGCAAAGACTCGACTTCAGACACAAGTTTGTCCCGGCACTCGGAGACGTTTTCCCGAGAAATATTGGCTCGGCCTGTGTAAAGAGCATCACCAGTGCATAGCAGTGAATGTTACGGGCTTGCAACATATCATTGATATGCAGAAGAAACAGCGTTGGCGATAGTACACACCCTTGTGGAACACCAGCATTAATAGGCTTGCAATCGGAGCTCGCACCATCTACAACGACCTTGATGCTCCGATCTGCAAGAAAGCTGGTGATCCAATCGCACAATTTCTCGGGAAGCCCATAGGAAGGGAGCTTCGAAAGAGCGCTTTTGCCAAACTCATCGAAGTCTTCGCAATGTCCAAACTAACGGCCAATGCCTCCCCTTGGACACTACTGTCTCCGCTCATCTGTCAGTTAGGTAGACCAGAAGATAACCAGCTGACCGACCACGGCGAAAACCATATTGGCGGTCACTAATCAGCTGGTGATCCTCAAGGTACCTCATGAGCTGGCAGTTTACAATGGACTCCATTGGATCTGGAGAACAAGAATGTGATGGCAATAAGCCGTTAGTTGGACGGATCTGAGCGGTCGCCTTTTTTAAGGATCGGGTGGACGAAAGCCGTCTTCCATGATTTTGAGACTACGCCTAGGGAGTAGGAGTACCGGAAAAGACGCGTTAAAACCGGTGCCAACTCTGGAGCACACGTCCTCAGCACAATTGAAGGGAATTCCGTCAGGCCCACTCGACTTGTGGATGTCCAGGGAGAGGAGTGCTTTGCGAACCGAGCGCTGTGTGATCTGCACTTCCGGCATGGAGCACTCACACCGCGGGATGGTCGGCGGCGTACTCCCCCCGTCATCGAGAGTCGAGTTGGACGCAAAGAAAGAGCCTAGAAGATCGGCTTTCTCCTTTGCGGTATGGGCCAGTGAGTCGTCCTCCCTGTGCAGAGATGGAAGAGATGGCTGACAGAAATTCCCCAAATAACTGGACAACCATGTCGGTACCCAAGGAGGGGAACTTCTTCCCCCCTTCCGCTTATAGCATGATGCTATTTTACAGGAGCGACCAAATCATGGCTCAGATTTGCCTCCAATGGGCACCACACAGGAAGGAACAAAAAGTTCCATACCCTGAAGTACCACATCAGCGACAAAATCCGCAACAACGTCGGGATCGTCCGGTGAGAAGCAAACCCGCCCCTAAGGGTATGAAGTAAGGATGCATGGAAAGACCGCATCTCATCCCAATCGGTTGACCTATAGTGCCAAACACGGCGGCAGCCTGCAGAATGCAACTGCGATTTCAGCGTGAGTGGCACCACACTTCGGACAAGACAATGGTCCGAGGAGCCAAAAGGGGCGTCGACGGGAATCTGATATCCATCCGGGTGAGAGGTCAGCAGAAGGTCCAACAGGGAAGGTGCATGATCCTCCACATCTGGAATCCGCGTAGGCGAAGTAACCAGTTGTGTCAGACCATATGCCAAGGCAAAATCATGGACAGATCTCCCCGCATGGTCGGATAAACGTGAACCAAGCCATTTCCTTATTAAAGTCGCCGAGGATCACGATCTCCGTGGAGGGGATCTGCTGTAGCAACGAATCTGTAGCCATTTGGACGTGGTCGAAGAGTCGGTCTGTTTCGGCATTACCGCTATGGGACCTATAGAGGCACCCGTAGACGCGCGGATGGTCGTCGCTGTCTACGCGTAGCCTAAGGATGACAGGTCCGAACTTTCAAGTCCGCCGAGGCGTCGAGAAAAGATGTCCTCTCTGACGTAAATGCAAACTCCAGCCCGAGGCACAAAGGAGTGTTCCAGTTTGTACCCCGGGTAGGAGAGATACGAGACATCAGCCGGAGAGGACACCTGCGACTCGGTCAGAAAGAGCAGAGCCGGCCTCGCCGTCTCGTGATGGTAGTGAACGGCGTTTAGGTTAGAGTGAAGTCCCCTGATATTGCAGAAATTCACGGACAGCGTGGCAGGGGTCGCCTTGGTCTTGATGCTCCGTTTGCCCCGAGCAGTTGTAGTCTCGAGCGGAATTTTGCCCCCCCCCCCCCCCCCAGAATACGCGGGGCAGCCTGAGCACCCACGCTCAGAAGTGGAGAAACATGGTCGTGGATGCTCAGCGAGGGATTCTCCAGGGGTGCTGGTACCCTCCTGGGGTAGTCTATCATCATTTAATTCCGCTACCATGTTGATGGGGGGGGGGGATTTGGGTCTCCGGCCACCTGCACTCACCAGACGAAACGCGGAAGCAGAGCTTCCACTTCACGCCGGTATTCTGTGAGGTCGTGGTACCACCCCGGTTTGAGCCGGCCCATACGTGCAACAGCAAAGCTGCCTCGTGGCTCTACCACTGTTAAATTTATAGCAATCAAAAAGCAATATAAAAATTTACAGCAAGCGTTAACCATCTGAGCTTTCACGGCTCCCCATATCCTATATGTAAAAGAAATCACTTCCCGTGGATGCTGTAAGAGGCGACATGGGAAAACTGAAACAGGAGATGGGCAGCAGAATTTTCTTGATAATAGCTTAAAATTAAAATAACAAACTGCGGTTGTCCACCCGCCTACCAAGCGTGCCAACTATGGCAAAAACCATATTTTGATGCAATTCATGGGGATGGCCTATATATGCTATATATATATATATATATATATATATATATATATATATAATTTTATAATGTTGTAACCGTTTTTCAACATTTGTAAATTTATTAACCTCCTAATATATGAATTGCTAAAAAGAACACTGTTATGTAAATACAATTTTTACAGGGTTATGAAAATTTAATTTTGTATGCCATACTTTTGAATTGTTATCTAGTAGCAGCATGAGAGAGTCTACCTACTAACTCATACTGTCCCGTGGATGCCGTAATAGGCGACAGAGTGGAATAAAAACAAGAGATGGGCAGCAGCATCTCCCTGATGACAATTTGATATAATAACAAAAAAACTACGATTGCCCATTTACCTGCAAGGCGCGGCAACAAACAAAAAACAAGCGAAAGACAAGAAAAAAACAAATTATCTACCCTATTAGAGAATTTGTGGGAAAGTCTTATATTAAACAGGGATCTTTTGATGAGCTGAAATATTGACTAATAAAAATAAGAATATTTCCAGATACAAAGATGAAGAGTAATAATTTCGGTACCTGCGACTGACTTATCTCTCTATATTCAATTACGAAGTAGAGGATGCCGCAGCCTCCGTCTCCCCAGGAGTCCAGCCAGACAGTCACGGTCGTCGTATTAAGAGTGATCATTTGCGAATGTTTAGGTTTTACAGGCACTGAAAGAAATATTAAGAAAATTACTGAAGATGAGATCTTATACACAATAAAACATTCTCCGTCAAATAAAGTACCATTTGCTATTTTCTTACCACGAAAGAAAAAGAATTTACAGTTTATCTGATGGTATCTGACCACTGTAGCCCATGGATACCAGCAACCATCTTTAAACAAAACTTTAGCTAGGTCCACAAATGTGTTATCACCTTTGTGGACTTAGCTAAAATGTCTAAAGTAAGTAAAAGCCTGTAATCATACTGACTCTCTATACCCTTAGATCCAGAACAGAGTAGTGCTTACATTGCTGCTGGGCGCCGGAACTAGTTAAGGAGATGGAGCATACACAGACGGACTGCTAGACGGAAAAGTGGACTTCTAACTATGTAGTAGATATTATATAATATTTTAACTAACAATTTTCTTCGACTACGTCAACCTTACTGCACCTGGTGCATCTTGATAATTGACGGATAAGGTTAGTACAATAATGCGATTACGTTAAAAATTAAATATCCAGTACTAAGATCACTAAGAAAAGTGCAATAGTTAACTGGTTGATACGGCTCCACGAGACTACGGAAGCTATGTCGTTTGCGTAGGCTCGTGCATATCTCTTGCCCATTTGTGCGATTATGACAAAAATTTACAACTAAAAGACTATCACAAAATTAATTAAATAAAATAGGGTTATACAGAGGAATATAATGAATGATAACTAAACATTATTCACACTCGAAACATGACACGGTTTATCGGTTGAATTTCTAATTAAAATTTTAATAAAGAAAAGTAACCGAATTCAAAACCTACATATTATTATAATGTATTGATACTAGGTGCATATTATAACTAAATAAGGTAAACGAAAAAAAGGTTTTCAAAATTACTACTACAATTACTAAAACAATGCTTTGTTCTTTGTTTATAGCCTGTCTCTCTCACGAATATTTTTTTCTAATAAACTTTTCTGTCATAATAAAACAATAAGTGCTGTGCTAACTATGACATATTAAATCTACATAAAGGTATCATATCAGAATACATATTTTTATTTACCTGTGCCTTTAGTATAAGCGTGGACAATGTCGCAAGGAAGTCCGGTACCGATACGGTTAAAAGCGGTGATGTAAAGTTGATACCGAGTGCCACACCACAGGTTGGGAAGCACATGCTCAGAGGTGCCTGCCTCAACCTGCAGCTCCTCCCAATCTCCGTGCTCCCGCTTGTAGTTTATTACATATCCTAAAAAGTTTAGGATTGATTTACTTATATATGTCCTCCAGACCGAATTTCGGCCACGGCTGCCTGCCTCAACGGAGGCTAGCCATCGGCGCAGGATAAGATTATAGTGCCCAAGTGTATGCGCAAGCACAGGTGCACTCTCTATTCCCTCACTATCGTAATCCGATGGGACGGTAAACCGACACGACCGGAGAGAGATCAGACGCAGAACCAACGGCTTTACGTGCTTTCCGAGGCACGGGGGTGAGACACCACCAACTTCCTGACTCCGGGCAGCTACTGAGAATTTCTTGACGGAAAAACTCAATAATTAATTTTTTGGCCCGACCCGGGATTCGAACCCAGGACCTCATGATCAGCAGTCGCACTACTACAACCACTAGACCAACGAGGCAGTCAGTCAGATTTACTTATAGTAGTATGCAATTACAGTGATAATATATTTTCTTTATCTATTGATGTTTTAAAATATGGTTGGCGTGCTCAGCAGAGCGGGATAGTATTTTATGCCGGCTTACCGCCTGCAACTTTACAAGGCGCAGGTTCGGCCGCACATGGAATACTGTTCCCATCTCTGGGCCGGGGATCTCCAGTGCCAGCTCCTTCCATTTGATCGCATCCAGTGCAGAGCTGTTCGAATTGTCGGCGACCGAGCTTTTTTCGATCGGCTTGACTCACTGGCACTGCGACGAGATGTTGCATCTCTTTGCGCATTTTATCGCATCTACCACGGGGAGTGCGATAAAATGCGCAAAGAGAGGAATTGTTCGGACTAATTCCAGCCGCACTATTTTACCATCGCACATCGAGACAAAACTCGCGATATCATCCATACCATCTGGATGACAGCGGTCCACCATCGTGCAATTTAAAAGAAGTTTTCGTCTTCGTACAACTTCCTTGTGGAATCGACAACCACCAGAGATTTTTCCGGACCGATACGACTTAAGGACTTTCAAGATAAGAGCCTACTCCTTTTTAAAAGGCGGGCAACGCATCTGCAATTCCCCTTATGTTGCAGTGTTCATGGGCGACGGTAATCAATTACCATCAGGTGAGCCGTATTCTCGTTTGCCCCCTCTCCTATAAAAAAATCCATGAACTGATCTATGTTGAAAATTCTTTTATTTGTCGTACTATAAATAAATAAAAAATATTCTTAATCTCATAAATTACATGGGCATGAGATTATTAGAGATTATGATAGTTGTGGCATTTTCTGATATAAGGAAAGATCTATCCAGCTTTGAATCTTTTTGTAGTTTTAGTCGATGGTGGTGATGAAAATGTTTTATTAGCAGGTAGCAGTACTAGTACTCATTCGCTTTTCAAAAAAATAAATTGTCAATGTACTAACATAGAATTAATTACTCTATGTGTACTGATATCTAAAACTAAACTTGTAAATGTCTGTGACAATTTTTTTGACTAAGCGTGTAATTTTTTTTACTATTCTAAGCCAGCATTTTACTACAACCCCACCTGATGGTAAATGATACAAATGTCAAAAATTTATGCTTGTGATCTGATTCTGCTATGCTTTTTGACTACGCCCAACTGCGTCAAAGATAAAATGGTACAACTTAATGTGCAAATACACACACACACTCGTATAACTAATTTGTTCCGGATATAACGTTTATGTTATAAGGTCGGAGGAAGAATTGTTAAGAACATGAGGAAAATCTTAACCATTAGAAAAAATCCCCGACATAGCTCCAGATTGAACTAGCAAAATGCTGCTCAAATCGTAAAAGCGTCAAGCGTTGTTGTAAACTTGACTATTAACAATATCAAAAGAAACATTTCATGGTTCCCAAATCATAAAAATATTTGTACAAACCTAAAATAGGGCTGCCTCCGTCACCTTGATCACTCCATTGTAAGTGCAAGGAATCAGCGTAAGAGTCAACGACCGCTAGTACCGGCGGTTGGGGTGGCACTTTCACTTCAACACTATATGTCACCTCATCTCGCCCATGCACATTCTCAACACTGCATGTGTAGTTACCGCTGTCGGCATACTGAGTCATACTAAAAATATGATTTTTTATTTACAATTTTATAATTCTATGTAAAAATTTTAAACGATATAGTAACAAGAGGATATCCGGTTAGCGTTAAGCTTACAAACGTATTCCCCTGATTTCTCACTGGATAATGACACTGAAGCTCATATTTTATGATACAGTCTATATCTTCCACCGCCATGTGCAGTTTTTTTAAATTAATAATTTCTCAAAGTAAAAACCCTTTAAAATAACTAAAGTTTTCTAGTTATAATGTCGTTTTCATTCATTCAGAAAACAAATATAATATACATAAAAAATAAAAGGATAGCATAAACCAAACAAGTTTAGTTTTTGTAAAAGAAATAGTCCAGTTTTCGAGGAGGAAACAGAGGAATACCTGATGATGATCTTGTTAATTTTTCTTAGTTATATTTAGTTGGAACTGCAGTTATTTCTTTCGGTTGCCTAGCTCAGTCGTTGGAGTACATCGTGACATCAATAGATCCTTAAAAACCTATTCTTCAAATTTGTTCCAGCCTAGATATCCTCTTAAATATAACAATAAAATATTTTAAGAAATACATTAGTCATAACTAGATTCCTTTAGGTTTTCCATTTTACCTTATGATAAGCGTCCCGTCGTTGGTTACATTTTTCCTTAGAGTAGATTCTAAAATAGCGCCATTCATACTCCAAGTGGTGGAAGGTACGGGGACACCCACTTTATTACACGATAGAGATATATTTTCCTTCCACGGAGTAACTATGCTGCGGCTGAACGATGTGATTCGAGCTGGTACTGTAGAAAAATAATATAATTATTTTAACATTTAATGTAACTAGAGGCATTTTTTTTTCTTGAATGAATTCTTTGCATAAGATAATAGGTACTAGCCGTTAGTGTAAGTGCAGCGAAACGGGAGGGTCGTTTGGTCCGGATTCCACCAAAGAGGAGATGTGCGGAGACGTACGAAACGAAGACGAGAAGAGATTTTTTTCAGCAAGGGTGTGTCCACCGAAGCTGTGCGGAGATACGTGAGCTGCGTGCGGCGAGCGTTGGATGTTGAAATGAACGCACAGTTTAGCGTGATCTAACACGAAAAGCAGACGTGACAGTCATGTCACTATTACAAAAACTGTATCTCCTTTTCCTGCGGCGCCGCTCACTGAATGCCGTTCACATGTTTTCTCGATCGCACCATACGAATATTGTATATACCCGCTCAGTGGTATCCGCTGAAGCTGAGTGGAGATGAGATGTGTGAATAACGAAATTCTATTGGTTGTTTAAAACACCTCTCCTCTCGTCTCGTCTCCGCTTTGGTGAAATCCGGGCCTTACGCTGGGCTTCTTTATAGGAAAGGGTGACAAACGAGCACACAGTCCGCCTGATGGTAAGTAGTTACTGTGGCCACCTAAGAACTCAGATGAGTTGTCACCCGTGAGGACTAAGATGGAATGTCTCGTTTCCAGTAAAAAGTGTTTCCGGTTCTCTACACTCACCATACGAAACACAGCAGCATTAAGCTAATACTTTACGCTGGTGTTCAGTGAGAGGGCTTACATTAGACTTTTACAACAATTTTCATTAATAGTCTGTATCCTATGTTTTATTTCATGACATAAGCCATTTCTATGACAAATTTAATTGGAATCCGTCCACCCGTTCAAGCGTGATTGAAGAAAAACATACACAAGCACATACTTTCGCATTTATAGTATTAAAAAGATAGATACCTGAATCAGATGGCAGAACAGTAACAACTCGTGTCGCTTCCCCCTCACCAAGTCTTGTGGAAGCTGATACCCAAAATTGGTGAGTAGCGCGTGAAGGTGACCGAGGAGTTTCATGAGACAGTGTGCTCGGAGATAGCATGCGTTTATGTGTACCTTCCTATTGATAAAATATTTATCTTATGTAAGCTGGTATCCCTTTAAAATATTTCAATCACAACATTTTCTAATTATGTCATACCGCACGTGTCGCTCTAATGCAGTGGCTCATATACTAATCTAATCAAGGTAGTAGTAGTTTATCATCATCATTAATAACATTTTTCAAGTTCAGTGATTCCTAAGAATGTGTCAGCTGGTAAAATTACACGTATGTTTTTAACATATTTCCCCTTCCCATATTTCCCCTATTATTTATATACAGGGCTTTTTTTTTTCAAAAAATATACAAATTTTACTTTTAAGTTCAAATATATAAATAATGATACACCGTTAGTGCAGTTTTCGAAAATACGAGTAAATAAGGCTTTTGGTTTTATTTTAAAATTATCTTAAATTATTATGATTTATGAGCAAAAATTACGCGTACCCGTGCTCCTGTTTGTGCGATACAATTAAAAAGTTTCTGCCTACTATTACGGAAGGTAAGAACACCGGAAAGCGCCTGTCGAGGTACCTATATTTGTAACTGAGAGACTCTTATGAATGTTTGCGAGCGCAATAAAATAGTAGGCGTTAGATATTAATGAATGGGTGCGTTTGGCAGAAAAAAGCGGTAGCAAGCGCTTGTAAGCAAAATGGCAAACTAAACAGTTTTCCGCCAGGACACGTTTGCTAACTTCAGTAGCGCTGAGACAATCCGCCATTTTGATGATTTAATTTGTTTGTTTTGGAGCAGAGTTTATAAGTTGTTTTGCGCAATATTAATTTTAAGTAATATAATGACATGAATAAACATATACATGTTATTAAAAATTCATGATTGGTAAGTTTTTAATATGAATACTTTACAAACATATATTTAAATTAGGTTAGGTTCCCAGGTTAAAACTACCTTCGTGTCCTAGAGGAAAATAGTTACTTACGATTTGACAGCGCTTACCGCTTACGATCGCCATTTTGCTTACAAGCGCTTGCTAGCGCTTTTTTCTGCCAAACGCACCCATTAACAATCCGTTGCAATAATGCATTACCACGCATTCGGAATTTAAAAGATAAAAAGATAGAATGTTTGAAGTTTATTAAAAATAATTTTTTCGACCATTCACCTATATTACTTAGTTTGAACCTCCTCTGCAAAGGACGTACATTTCAAAATAACCTGTATGAGTATATGGTACATAGTAAGAGGCGACAATGGGAAATACCAGAAAGGCCTCATGGCTTTTGATAAATAGCAGCATAACCATCTCGTTTACGCCAGGCGTAAATATCCAGCTTGGCGATGGGCACAAGCGTTATGGTGTGCAAAGCATGGTAATGCGATCGTCACTTTGTCTTCCAAGCGTGATGATTTAAGCAAATCCTCTCTACCACGTGAATGCCCATGTCCACCAAAGAACTTACTAACTAATGATGAATAAAATAACTGACAAATACAAGATAATTTTAAATTTGTCTAAGACAAAAATGAATTTATTTTGCTGGGAGTAATATTTTTCTATTTTAATACAATAAATTTCATAACAATTACTTGATATATTTTTCACTTTTAATTTAACTTTATAAAAGATTTATTTACCTCTCTGCCGTCTTCGATTACGCTCATATATAGAGTATAACCAACGAGAACACCATTGGGAGAAGCTGGGGGTAGCCAAGACACAAGGATCTTATTGCGAGAAGATACAACTGCCTTAATATCGGCTGGAGCAGAAGGTACTGAAAAAAATAGTTGTTAAATTAATTTTCTTAGGATGAACATACTAACTGCAATGTTAATAAAAAAAAACTTTTAGTTTTACCATCTTCCTCGGTTTGACAATACACAGGTGCAGCTCTCACTCCATCACCAGCAGCGGTGAAAGCACAAACCGTTACAGAATAGTTTGTATATCGTCGCAGACCGGACAGTGTTGTATGCAATGCGGAAATTTGCTTAGTGACTGCATCTTCTATACCTGAATAAATAATGAAATATAGCTTGATTTATCGAAATAGTAGAAAATCAACACAAATACAATTCTAATTTATCATCATAGCAATTGGTTTACGCAAATAATACATTTTACTGATTTTATCGCTTTTAATTGAACACCGTAAAATCCGTATTATTTATTTATTTATTTTAAGCCAGCGCTTAGCTACAGTCCCACCTTATGGTAAGTGGTGATGTAGCCTAAGATGGTAAAGCGCACTGACTTAACAAAAACCTATTCACTCTTGCCTTGATAATACCCACACTGTAATCGGATGGAAAGACAGATGCTGGCAACTTATTTCACTCCTTTGCTGTAGGCATGATGACCAAAGTAGAAAACCATTTGGTTCGAATACATGGTAAGTCACGAAAGGGTGGACACTGGCCGAACGCCTGATTGTCCGATAGTGGAAGGGAGAGGGAAGAAATGCATCCTGTTGAAGACTGAAAAGCTGGCTAATTTGCGTCTGTGTTCGAGGCTGGTAAGATTGGTTTTAACCAAATTAGGGTAACCAATAAGGCTTTTAGCACGCCTTTCCATTGAGTTCAAAGCTGTTAGGTGGCATTTGGCAGCACCAGCCCATATATGGCAGCAATACTCTATGCACGACCGGACTTGCGCTTTGTACGCCGCACCTTTGCAAGGACTCTTAGCTTCCTTGCAGCTGCTTTGGCCTTGGACTCAATGAACCGCCCGAAGTTCAGATTTGAGGATATCTCAATCTTCAGCAACTGGAGGCGGTCGGTGTATTCCAGTGACACATTTCTAAAAGAAGGAGCCAATGTGAGCTGGCTCCTTTTTGCAGTGAAGAGACACGCTTGTGTTTTGGAGGCATTGAATTTCACAAGATTGGCATCGCCCCATTCGGAGACTGCCTGTAGTGTGAGATTCACACGCTCTACCATAGCTTATCTTTCGGACTGTATTCAATCACGACTGGCCCGAGGACTTGGTTGGTATCTCTCTACAAGTGTGCTGTCATCTGCGCATCCATAGATACCAGGTATAAGCAAATAATTAATATGCAGCAGGAAGAGAGTTATGGAGAGAACAGACCCCTGAGGAATACCGGCGTTAGTCGTCACAGGATCCGATGATCAGTCATCGACGACGATCCGGAGAGACCGTTCACTCAGAAAGTCCTTTACCCAGTCAATCAGATCAGGGGATAAGCCGTACGCTGGAAGCTTAGCCAAAAGGCTAGCGTGCCAAATTCTGTCAAAGGCTTTCGAGACATCAAGGGAAACAGCAAGTGCTTCCCCACTGTTCTCGAGTGCCTCGCCCCATACGTGTGTGGCATACGCAAGAAGGTCCCCAGCTGACCGATTTCGGCGAAACCCGTATAACCGGTCACTAAGTAGGTCATTCTGTTCTAGGTATGCCATTAAGCGGGCGTTCAATATACGCTCCATAATCTTGCAGAGTATAGAGGTAATTGAGATTGGCCGATAATTGGCAGGGTCAGCACGGCTGCCTTTTTTGGAACAGGCTGCACGTTGGCCAGTTTCCAGGATTTTGGCACTATTCCAGTCCTAAATGAGAGGCGGAACAAGCGTGTCAACACAGGAGACAACGCAGGTGCAGAAGCCTTTAGAACTATAGCTGGTATACCATCTGGTCCACTTAATTTATTAATTTATTATTAATTTCATTTAATTTTATTTAAATAACTTTAACGAATGGGTTGAGTAATTTTCAATTCCAGCTCAAGACGAATAGATTTATTAATTTAATTCGGAACTTTATAAAATATATGAAGAATGTAAATTTATTTATACATACCATACCAATCAGTAACCGGTGCATACGTGACTCTGTAACCCTGTAATATTCCATTTCGGCCCCTTACTGGCGGCGGCTCCCAAGTGACTCTTACTGACTGCGAGCTTAAAGCAGTGCACTGAAGCGACCCAGGCGGAAGACTCGGCACTGTAAATTGACAGATATTTTATGTATAATATTTTGCACCACTCATTTATTTTGCATTTATTTTAATTTGTACAAGAATACTAAGTAAAGGACAACATGACCTCCGATTGCAGGAAGTACGCAATCTTGTACCAAATGAGAAATACCCAGACCGTTAACAATGAGAAGCGTTAAAAGCTGAGATATCTGGTAAAGTAAACTTGACTACTTTACATCCGCCAAGCGTGTAAAAACTATAAAATGCTTTTTACAATTTGGATTGTGTCCCCAACTAAGAGTTCAAAATTTGTCTAATTATCGTCATTATTTTTCACATCGACTATGAAGTCTACGATTTGAAATGAAGTATGTATTTTCGATGGCCAATTCTAATGCACTAATCTCTTTGTAAAAAATTAGACTTGTAAAGTATGTGATTGTTGGCGATGTGACGTCTTGAATGTAGTTTGTTATATTTTAGCTGGTGATGAAAAGCACACGTGCAGCATAAGTCACGCGCACTTCATTAGTGTTCTCCAGACGCATCAATAAAGTTAATGCACTTAATTGTAATAGCTGACCAAAATTATTCAATACCAAAAGTCAGCCAGGTCGACATCAGAAACAGAAACAGTAACTTTTTTATTCAATATAGAACAAGATTATGATTAATTATTTTCTTTAATTTACCACTCGTTCGGAAAAAAACCTCTGTCCTGGGAAGAATCAGGAAGGAATCCAAAAAGAATAACAGCTTACAATCATGTATGTTACACAATTCACAACACAAAAGAAATTTGTAATAGCTTGGGAACGATCACCTCATTCCCAGAGGTTATTTTAGCCCATAAATTCCTTAATTTTATGATAATTCTTTTTATACAAATTTTGTTTAATAAATTTTTGAACTTCGAGCAGGTCAGATTTTGTATATTTTTTGAGATTTTGTTGTAAAAAGCATATAAATATCCCCAAGAATTGATTACTGACTCGGTGGAGTCGAGTTACTGGTAGTACTAGCTCATGTCTTTTTCTAGTATTTACATGAATATCACTTATTTTTGTAAAATTATTTTGTTTTTGTGTATGTACACTACATTTTCATAAATGTATTGATAGGCCAAAGTTAATATATTAATTTCCTTAAATTTTTGTCTAAGCGACTCTTTAGGTTTTAAATCATAGATTGTTCTTGTGGACCTCTTCATCACGTATTTCAGTGTCATTCGCGTGTCCCTATAGCAAAATATTATACGACATGATGCTATTTGAAATAGCTAAAGTCAACTAGTCTAGCTATTTTAACACTGGTAAGGTTTCTTATCTTTTTTACAGCATATGCTGCAGAAGTTAGTGTGCTTGCTAGTTTTGATATATGGGTTCCCCATTATAGTTTCGTGACTAGTTTTACATTTGGAGTTATAAATTTCATACATTTGGTTTTAGTCCCATTTAAATGCAAATTGTTAACATTAAACCAAATTAATAATTAAGGTATAGCATTATTTACTTCGTCATATTTCAGTAATAGTCGTTTTAATTAGAAAATTTATGTCTTATCATCAGCAAATAGTACTATATCATGGGTATTACCTACTATGTAAGGTAAGTCATTAATATATACAAGAAACAGAAAGGGACCTACAATTGAACCCTGAGCCACGCCCATTTGTACTATCAATCCAGAAGAACTCATACTATTAATGTCAATATTTTGCGTACTTCTTACACCGTAGTGTTAAAATTTTCTGATAAATGTTTCATGGTGAACACAATCGAAGGCTAGAATATGCTCAAAGCATCCTGTGAGTTCTTCCATGCTTTGGGACAGGGACATATTTCAATCAGCTCCACACCAGTATCAGTTGTCAAGCGATCCTTTGTAAAACTGAATTGATTTTTATGAAGTAAATTATTAACATTAAAGAAATTTAACTTTAAAGAAAATGAAATCGGTCTAAAATTAGCTAGGTCGAATGTACTACCAGATTTATAACACTCAACATGTCGTTTATTATTAAATCCTATCTTACCATCCTCCATAGTAGTTGCAGTGGTAGGTGGAGACGCGGGGCCTGCACCCCGGCTGTTATAAGCCTGTACAACAACAGCATATACAGTGTGCTTTTGTAGCCCGGATAGTGTTGTTCTAGCACGCGCCGTACCCGTTCCTTCGACCGTACGAACCGTATACGATGCACCACCTGGTCCGCTTGCGATTAATACACTACTGTTGTTGTTGAGCTGAAAATTTTTGTCAATGTTACAAACTGTCGATTTTAGAGTTAATGATTTTACTTTGTCGATATATTTTGACCACAAGTAATCAAAGATTTATTAATAGATTATGCAATGTACTATTTGTGGGAGAAATCAATAAAGGTTATTATTATTAATAGTAGATATTAAATTTTAGCTGTGTAAAGCAAACTTATACTCATGTTTACATATCCTCCCACAAGACAAAAAAAGCTGGAAATTTACAATAAGTTAAAATAAACATGTTATAACCCCTTAAAATAGTTGTATATAATACATATTCGTCATCCACTTCCCGTATCTGATTTCAGTTATTGCAATAGGTAAGGATTTGGATAATCTTGGAAATGAAAAGTGGTAAGCACATTTTTCAACATAATTTATACATTAATGTTACTAACTTCTTGAAATCCCACGTAGTAACCAAGAATGTTGCCGTTCCATAAGTCCTTCTGTGGTGGATCCCAGCTTACAATTAATTCCGTTGAACTTTTTGGTTCTACTCTAACGTCCAATGGTGTGCCGCTGGGAACTAAAACCAAATTATCCCAATGTAATATTGACTGTTGACCGTTGGTCTAGTGGTCGTAAAGACCGATTTACACTTCGACAAGTACAGTAGCGAGTTAACTTGCGAACCTGGCGAGTTAAGTTTGAACCTCGTTTGAACGGCAAAAAGCGAGTTAAGTAGCAAGTTAATGATTAAGTTGAACAGGATAGCCGGCCGAGCTATTTTTCGGCGAGTTAAGTGCGAAGTGCTGCCCTCCCGCGCGTCTCGCGCCACCCGCAACTAAACTCGCCGTTCGTGTAAACGAACGAGTTTAATTTAGTGCATAAGTTGACAGGACGCAGCGTTTGCGCGCCAAAACGTACAATTGTACTTTTATAATGAAACTCGCCACAAAGTTTGTACGATACTGTTATTGAATATTTATACGTTTTATATTGAGTTTTAATAATAAAATTGACGGAAGATATTAAGTATACATTCGTACTGGAGTATTTCGAACACGAATGTTTATATAAAGTAGAAGTTCAAATTGTAAAATTAAACCTGCTCGAGATGCTGCACTCATAAAATTCTTAAAAACTTCTTTAACAACAACCATTAATATTTCTCTGACTGGATCATTTAATTCTTGACGTAATCCTAGAACCATCTTAAACGAAAACTAGAAAAATTCAGTAGTCTGGAAACGTCATACTCCAACGAACTCTATGAACTAATGTCCTTAACTAAACTCGCCACGAAGACATTGTTTGAACGCTACTGCCCACTTAACCGTTTACTGTCAACTGCCCTGTAACTTAACTCGCTACAGTACTTATCGAAGTGTAAATCGGTCTTAAGTGCAACTGCTGGTCAAGTGCTCTCTGGTTCGAATCCTAGGTCGAGTAAAAATAAGTTATAGGAATTCTGTCTGATAATATAATATTATCAGCAGCAGCTCGGAGTTAGACACGTAAAGCCTTTCACTCTGTCAGGTCGTGTCGGATTGTCGTCCCATCAGACCATGAGAGTGAGGGATTAAAGTGTGTACCGTTTTGCTCATGCAATTTAAGCCTATCTTGTGACTAGTCTCCATCGAGACCGGAATTCAATCTATAATATAATTATTTACTGCTTTATTATTTTTTACAAAAATATTTATTTTGTTACAGTTTCATGGATAATGTTGTAATTTAGTTATATGATTGGGTAGTTGACACCATAATTAATAAATTGTTAAATGATATAGTATAGGATCTCAAAACTTGGTTTGTTTTCTGTTATAAATTTAATTAAATTTTTATTAATTAAGAATAAACAAATAAGATATTTATTTGATAGCAAGAAATAATGACGTCACTGAGTCTATTTTCATACCATTTCTATGAAAAATTATAATATTAAGAAGGCTTACAATTGATATTTCATATAACGTGAGTGTCCTATTCCCCATTCCATAATTATAATTTTTAACTGAATTATATAATTTTTAAATGTAACTGAAATTTGAACTATAATTATAATTTTTAAATGAAACTGAAATTTGACTGCCTTGTTGGTCTAGCGGTTGTAGTAGTGCAATTGCTGATCATGAGGTCCTGGGTTCAAATTCCGGGTCGGGCCAAAAATCAATTACTGAGTTTTTCTGTCAAGAAGTTCTCAGTAGCCGGAGTCAGGAAGTTGGCGGTGTCTCACCCCCGTGCCTCGGAAAGCACGTAAAGCCGTTAGTCCTGCGCCTGATCTCTCTCCGGTCGTGTCGGTTTACCGTTCCATCGGATTATGAGAGTAGCGGAATATAGAGTGCACCTGTGCTTGCGCATTTGCATCACTTGGGCTCTATAATCCTGTCCTGCGCCGTTGGCTAGCCTCCGTTGAGGCAGGCCGCCGTGACCGAAATTCGGTCTGGAGGACATTATTATTATTATTATTAATTTTAATTTTTAACAAAAAGTAAAAACCGATTTCAAATTTCCAAAAAAAAAGAAATTATTTTTTGCAACCCTTAGGGGTGGAATTTTTCTCTAAATTTACTTTTGACAACCCTTGAAGAGATTGAAAACCTTGATTGATGATCATCCTTGATACCACCTACTTAAAAAAAAGAATCATCAAAATCGGCTCCTTATCTGCGAAGATATCTTATGAAATTCATTAAACAATAGTCCAATATGAAACTTTTCCCCTAATTTTCTACCCTTGTGAGCGGAATTTTTTCTTTCAAAATTTAATGGGACTACTCTTGAGGTGAAGCAGATCTAATAAAAAATAATTATTGAAATCGATTTACAATTTGCGAAGATATCGTGTAATATATATACAAAAAAAGGAATATACACTCGAATTGAGAACCTTCTCTTTCGTGAAGTGGGTTAAAAATAAAATATAAATCTTTCCTAGGACTAATTTTCAAATAAACGTGCCTGCACTGCTGTTTTCCGGTCTGAAGACATTCCATGTTCGTACTCAGTCAAGTCTTTTGATTAAAGTTGTCTGTAAATATCCATGGGCTGCAGTACTTACATCAGGTGGATGCTGTTTAGGTTCCTTACGTCAATTTAGGAAAAATTTTATATTCAATTTAAAATTAAACTGTAATCGATTTTATTATCATAGATAACTTACATTTTGTAAATAACATCGATTTTGTTTAACTATTCAATTTCTTAATACTTCATTATTGAACGAGAAAAATAAATATAAATGAAACCGACAAATTAAGGGAAATTTTAGCTAAACGTACCAAGTTTTAAAAGGCTTTTCAACCGTTGGTAATTGGTTAGCACTTTCGTTTGAGTGGCCGTGTCGAAGTTAAAAATCCTATTCGGTGTTAATTTGAATTACACTTGAGTCCAGTCGTTAGGGTCTTATTTAAAAAAAGTTTAATGTTTATATCATTATAAGAAATTCACATTCAATCACATTTAAGAAAGATTACGATCGCTTGGTTTGGTTAAAAAAAGAATTAAGTTGTCGAGGGATCCCTATCAGGAATGAAGTTCCTTACGTAATTTTTTCAACTATAAACGTTACGAGTATTTAATATGCAGTTTTCAACAATAATTTATTTATTTTTAGTTATTTTTTATAAAATTAATTAAATTGAATTATTGTGTTAATCTCTATACTAGCACGAACACACAAACATACAACCTTATGTATGAAAGAGACAGAGAGAAAGAGAAAAGAGGGAAACGTCGTTCAGGGGGTCGCATAACACTTTCGCTACGTGGCGATTTCTGCCAGTTCACCCTACTCTTACCGCATAAAAGAACTTCGTTCCAACAATGATGTATAATAATTCACACTAGGTTTTTCTCATGACCACAGGAAAACACTTAGCCACTTTGTTACCGAGTCGTCGTTTTAAAAATTAAACTTTAACTGAAAATAAAAGCTGAACTCAAAGAGCTAAAAAAATAATAATAATTTTCACTTAATAGCTTCCACAGTCGGCGCTAATACGTAGTATATCAAATATCCCCCGACTTCAGAAGCTTTTAAGTTGGAAATATTTTTTAGTTTGTTAAAGTCGGTTAAAATTTTGATCTAAAGTTTAATTATTTGACTCCTTTCGGATAAAAGAATATAACTAGCTTAAGACAATAACTTGAAAGTCATCCAAAAATTTTTTTCTTCCAATTGTCATGGGATCACTGTTGAGGTAAATATAAAGCTATTTATTAAAAAATAATCATTAAAACAGATTAAATTTCACAATTCGTAAAGATATCACGAAGAAATATACAGTTGAATTTAGAACATCTTTCGTTTTAAAAGTCGTTTGATAATAATGTCGTCACGTAAAAGTCATGAAAATTTTCTACAGATTACCTTCTTCCGTAGTAGTCACTTGTACGAGTTGACTGGGCTCGCTTTGACCGAGTCGGTTTTCGGCAATTATCCGCAAATGATAAGATGTCGCTGGTTGTAAATTTTGTACACTGGCGGAGGTAACACTTCCCGGTACAATAACTTTTTGTGGCGTTGTTGGCCACGGATCTAAAATGAATAACGAAATATTTTAGTATTAAATGATACGATACAGGTCGTAATAATTCAAGACGTAATGATCAAAACCATAGTTGAAAATTGGTCTGAAGTCATCATCAGAATGATTCAAGTTACAGTAATGTTAAGTTAACATAATTGTTTTTTTTTCTAAAAGTGTATGTTGATGGTCTTGCGGCCTTAAAGACTTCACCAGAATACGAGTAGACTCGTAAGCGACTTACGAGCTATTGAGTGTGCCGCTTCTGCCTGCGGCGTCGTATTTGAAGTTACAGCCTATATACGTCTCACTCCTGAGCACAGGCCTCCTCTATGAAATATGGCATTTCTAAGGGGACTTAAGGGTAAGGAAATGTAAATTGCAATTAACAATTTCAATGTCGTGCTGGCGGGTTACGAACCTGGGCTGCTCGCGTACTGCAATATTTACATTGAGCACCTAGCCCCTGACCTACCCCGGCTCTCGAATATTATTTGAAGTTATCAAAAAGGCTCTTCAGCGTAAGACTTCTCATTTCGTTGAGGAACAACAAGGAGTAAATTTATGATAATTATAGCATTATATACATAGTCTATTATAGCACATTCTATATATATATATAAAATTAGAAGCAAGCTCAAGTAAACATTTCATATATTGAAGAAAACGTTTTTTATACATTACTACATACATACGTTACTATACATTTTATTTATAATGAAAGTTTCAAGAAGAAACTTTCAGAACTATTAATGGATTCATTAATGAAAAACTCCTTATTAAAATCAATTTATATTACGACGAAGTTAAATTAACTCTCACAGCGTTAAGCCAACTTTAAAATTGCAGTATATAGAATGAAATAAGACCTCCTAAAATTATAAATAAAGATTAAGACCTCTTTACGAAAAAATTGTTCTATTTATAATTACCTGGTGCTTCTTTATACTGCACTATATAATTAATTATCGGGCTATTTCCAGCGTAGGGCTGTGTCCATGATATCTGTATTGATCGCGATTGCTGATCGATTATTCTTATATTCTTGGGCATTTCGGGTACCTGTTATATAAAACATTTATATTACTCTTGCAATGATGATAGAGTCAAAATGTTGCACGAATGGGACTGTTCGACAGCAGAAGGTTTTTACAGAATACATGGGTAAAATAGCAGCATTATTGTGTTGAATGTTCCTTTTATTGGAACAAGACATTCCATTTTATATTAAGTCTCAAGGGAATAGTGCATCTGTATTTTGATCCCTCATCACGAAGATGTAGAATAAGCACAAGACTTATCATATTCACTTATTATGAATACATGGGTAAAATAGCAGCATTATTGTGTTGAATGTTCCTTTTATTGGAACAAGACATTCCATTTTATATTAAGTCTCAAGGGAATAATGCATGTGTATTTTGATCACTCATCACGAAGATGTAGAATTAGCACAGCACTTATCATATTCACTTATTATGAATACATGGGTAAAATAGCAGCATTATTGTGTTGAATGTTCCTTTTATTGGAACAAGACATTCCATTTTATATTAAGTCTCAAGGGAATAATGCATCTGTATTTTGATCCCTCATCACGAAGATGTAGAATAAGCACAAGACTTATCATATTCACTTATTATGAATACATGGGTAAAATAGCAGCATTATTGTGTTGAATGTTCCTTTTATTGGAACAAGACATTCCATTTTATATTAAGTCTCAAGGGAATAATGCATCTGTATTTTGATCCCTCATCACGAAGATGTAGAATTAGCACAGCACTTATCATATTCACTTATTATGAATACATGGGTAAAATAGCAGCATTATTGTGTTGAATGTTCCTTTTATTGGAACAAGACATTCCATTTTATATTAAGTCTCAAGGGAATAATGCATCTGTATTTTGATCCCTCATCACGAAGATGTAGAATTAGCACAACACTTATCATATTCACTTATTATGAAAACTGTGTGCTCGTTCATTACCCTACTAGAATAAAAAAAATGGGAAAAATGTTTAAGGAAAAGCTCACAGACATTAACTTCTGCCCTAGTTACGTTAATGAAAAGGTAGATTAACATTTATAAGTAGTTATAGCATATATAGTGTTAATAACGTACAACATGTTGATACGAAAAGTAGGTCGGTTAACGTAGAGGTTAGTGTAATGTAGTAAGTTTTTTTTATAGCGTAAGGGTGACAAACAAACACACAGCCAACCTGATGGTAAGTTGATGCTGTGGCCTATAGACATCTACATCTGTCTGCGATTAAGAATCAAAATGCAGATGCAGTTCCAGAAAAAATGGTCTCCAGTTCTTTACACTCACCACACGAAACACAGCAATTATTAAGCTGCTATTTTACGTAGATATTCTATGACAGCGGTCCTTCCCCGATCGAACCGATAGATTTGCGCTACAACCATAATGTAGCTGCGACGTAGCAATACCAAAAACAGATTCTTAATGTCATTGAATATTGTAAAGAAGTGCTGTAAAGAAGTTAGATTTAAGTTACTTAAAAAGCTGAATAAAAATGAAGCTGTAATTGTGAGTGAAAGGAAAGTATGTAAGGAGAATTCTTTGTTTATTACCTCTTGTACGACCAAGTGTATTAACATTTCGTCTTGCCCATACGCATTTGATGCTCGACAAGTTAACGCTCCCGTATCCTGTCGGTAGGTTTGCAGAATACTAAGTTCGGAGACCAGACCATCATCTAGTACTTGCTCTCGAATAGTATATCTGTAATAGATTATGATATTTTATACTACGAATATTTATACAGTAAATATACGCCGTGTGATTGCAACGTTTGGGAATCCATTACCCCATTTCGTCCCGGGGATTTTGTAATACGATGGAAATGCCAGAAAATTCTAATGGTTTCCAATCGATTTTGACAACGGACAGCAGCATCGAAGATGCAAGACTTCTGGCACTGCGACCGTCAGTTCGCTTGACAAGCGTTACGATGTACTATGTCGCAGTAGACTTTAACGGGCTGCTATTTTTTATTATAGGATAGGGTGACAAACGAGCACACAGTCCACCTGATGGTAAGTGGTTGCTGCGGCCCACTGACGTCTACATATATCCTCGATTACAAATCAAAATGCTAATTCTAAAAATGAAGATAACGTTAAGTTAACAAATACTTATAATAATAATTTAAATTTACACACGCTTGGAATAGAAAAAGACTTCCGCGGCACCCAGATAAAAATTGGCAGTCTTCGGTGTCTTAATTATATATTTTTTCCTTACGCTACTTGCCACATGAGTATGTAAAAAAATAGCACCTAAAAGAAAATTTAAAACTTGGGTGTGGGATTGATCAAGTATCCGATAGAGACTATACAACTTAATAGAGCCTTGCTTCTTCTAATTAAGGAATTGTTAATTAACAATAGAGAAATAAAGAAACTATTTGAATAAATTGAGAAAAGAATTAGTGTTAATCAATAACAGCAGAGTTTTCGGTGACAGTATTGGAGTTGTGATGGGCTATAATGACGATGATGATGGTTTTTTCGAGTGTTAACTGACCTTTGATCTAGATGGTGAGCTATTGTATGATGGTGAGGGCTTCGCCAACTGACTTCCAACGGTGCATCTCCAGAAGCTGCACACTGAAGATGTGCCGCCTCTCCAGCAGTCACTTGCACCGTCTTGCTTTTCATTGGGAAACGCGCCGGTGCTATAAACAAATTATATAATTATATAATAACCAATACTGTTACTGTGGTAGCTCAGATAGTTAACGTTCGCTGTAAATATAACAGAATGCGAGTAACCCGGGTTCGATCCCTGCCGGCACCAATGAAATTGTTAATTGCAATTTTAAGTGCTGATTTACCACGTGCTTGGCGGTGAAGGAAAACATCGTGAGGAAACCTGCGTGTCTGAGGAATAAGAAAAAAATATTTTGAAGACATGTGAAGTTCACCAACACGCATTGGGGCAGCGCGGCGGACACTTCCTTGCCCTAAAACCCTCTCAGAAATGAATGAAAAGGCTTATGCCCAGCAGTGGGACGTATATAGGCTGTAACTTTTCTTTTTTTACTGTTTAGTATTTAAAATTTATGTCTTATATTTAATATATAAATTACTCTTATATACACACTTTGTAACTGTAATATTATAGTATTCGAGTGTATTTGTATCATAATGTATTATAATGTGTGGTAACCTTGTAAAAGAAATCATCTGCAAATACCGTCAAGTCAATTTTTGTAAAAGTTGGCATAATGAAATACCTGAAGATCTTTCGTCCTCTGATATACAACCGTATAACCAATTCGTACATGTCAAACTTAAAAACCTTGAGCTAACTTAAGAAAACTTGACTTGCAACAATCAATCACCCAATCCTTTTTTCAGTCGTGATACAGCCAAAAATTTCCAACATTTGGAGATTCAATAGATAGGGGTCTCTCAGACAGTAGACTGTTATAACAGTGAAAAAAGAAACGTAACGACAATTGCTATAGAAATATGTATGTATTTTTTTTAAATTTATAAATTTAAAAAAAAATAAAGCCGCATAATAAATAACTTTAATGTTTTAAAAAATGATGCTTAAATTATAACACAATCATAACACTGTTAGATTATGTAAATATCGCAATATAAAAACGACCAGTTTTCTCAATAGGAGAGACGTATTGTGACGTATTGTCATTAGTTTTCCGCTCTGATGCACTACTTCCGGCGTTTAATATCACTGTTGTTGAATGCTAACAAACAATTGAAACTTGTTCCGTTGTGCGGTTGTCATAAGTACATATTTGTTTAGAATTTAAATACTTTAAGAATAGAATAAGAAGGGAAAAATGTTGTAAGTTAATTCCTTTATCTCCTTCTTTCTTTAGACTTAATTTTCTTTCCCATCACAAGAAAACATCTCATTATTAAGAGGAATATAATAAAATACTATGCTATATATAACACATTTAATATGATGCCTAAAACAGTAAATGTGACAAAATCTACCAAAATTAAAAGGGAGGTGCGTGTAGTTTTAAATGAGACGATCTCTACATGCTTGTATAGTTAAATTTGAAATTTATAAAAGGTATTTATTTTAGATAAAGTTATAAATCATACATACATAAAACTATGGGTTATTTTATATTAAAGTTAAGGCCTGTATATGTTCCTTGGTTCAGCACAGACCTTCACTCTATTTTACAAGAGTTGATGAGCAATTATTCGGCAGTACGACACAAGTGCGAGTTGGCAGATTTTACATGTCTACGAAATATTTATATTACTCAAACATGCAGGTTTCCTCACGAGGTTTTCCTTCACCGCCGACCAAGTGCCAATAACTTAAAATTGCTCTGTTGCTATACTGCTAATCTATCCCGTTACGAGTTACAATAATTAAGGCTTCGCAACGTAGTGGTTCAGTAATGGGTTACGGCGCTGAGGGCGGCGGGTTCGATTCCCGCGTGGAACAAGTATTTGTATAGCCTAAAAATAATTGTTCCGGTCGGTATGTTCTTGTGCTTTTATAAAAATATGTAGGAATTATTAATAATATTTTCATAGAAATACGAAATGTGAACGATGTTATTATAAAAGACAAGTGCATGAAGTCATATAAATTATGACTTCATAACTTTTTTTCCACTTTATTCTACTTCACTTTATTCACTTATTTCTACTATGTAATTTTTAATGTCTTAAACTGTTTTGGGTTTATGTTTTTCCATGTGAAATGTATAAAAAGAAAAAGAAAAGGGAATTCTGTGGCAGTATAAAATTGTAAAAAGCTTTCTTTCTCGTAGCTTTTAAAAGGAATCGTGTACTTAATTCAGTTATTTGGGGTTTTTATTAAGTACTGTACAGAACAAAGGTGAGTAGAGTGGTCGTAAAATCGACTTTCCTTAATGCTATATAAGCACAATAGAATGCAGACAGCTCAGCTTTTTAGTGAAGTACTGGGTAACGTCTCGGAATTTAATAGAAATAAATAAAACGCGACAGCTGCGCCATGTTTAGAAGTTTTCACCTTTTGTTATTTGAAGATGATCTTTTGTTATCTGAAGATTAATTCTATTTTGTGTACTCGTATAACGAGCTACGAGATGAAAAGTTTTTGTGGGAATTTGATCACAAATGATTTGTAGGACAAATGATATGTTAAAGATACCTAAACTAAACTAAGAACAACCTGCGCTAGTAAATATTCTGGAATCGAAATATTCTGGAAAGTTGTTTCGTACACGTTAGTGATTAATGTGATGAATAAATTGAAATAGGTCAAATAGAAATAAGTTTTTTCGTGAGGGTTCATACTCGCGCTCACAGCATCGGCAAATCCTTAGAAAATATGCTGCTGAGTTGTCTAAACAGAAAGATTACAGTAAACAAAAGTAACGTAACACCCTATATACATCCCACTGGGCACAGGCCTTCTCTAACTTCTGGAAGGGTTTTAGCACCTATGAAAAGTTAAATAAAGTAAGTAAGACGCTCAAGACCGCTTTTTTGGTGGGGCCGTGTGGTGGTGGCGAAAAAGAATCCACTGCCTCATATCATCACTTAGGTGATAGAAAAGCGACAGAAGGAAATTGAAACAGAAGATAACCAACTGCTCCGTCTGGAAAAAAAACACAAAATATTTAAAAAAACGCCTGCTACCTGCTAAGCATAGCAACTATAGCAAATACTTTGAAAGACCCGTCTTCAGCTGTGATGGGTAGTTATAAATAAATGAAAATATAAGTAATATCATAATAGTCTACGAGATATGTCTCTTACTAAAGAAAGAATGGGACATTTTATAAAATTGTAATGATACGAAAGAATTTTCATTTGAGGATGGTCGTGAAATTCATCGCATAGTTTGCTGTAATCAAGGCATTTCGTATATTTTCTGTGTTCGATAAGGTGACGCCATTTTCTCGTATTATTAAGTGCCGGGATGACCGAGTTCCATTCGTAGTAATTTAAATTTCCATTTGTGATAATTAAAATAGTATTTTTGTAAAATACAAAAACCATTTACATAATATTATATCAACGTCATTTTGTTAATAATAATGGAACAGGAATGGGTTGTACTTTAAAGTTGTATAAGTGAGGTGGGTTCTAGTTGAAGATAGACGACTCGGTAGCGCAGTGGCTTAGACACTTGGTTCCGTCGCCTTAGGGCTGCAGGTTCTAATCCCTCCTACAAAAATTGTTTCTGCACTGGACATTTAAGTTCAATCTATGTCGATTCCTTCCTCCATGATACTGGAAATCTCCTTGTGCATATTGTTTAAAAAGTTATCAATATAAATAAACTAGGTGGTAGTGATAAAGATAATTTTTTGTATGTAATAGGTACCAGCCACTTATTTATTTTAAGCCTGTATATGTTGCAGTATTCCAATTTAGGGGATATGGACAGCTAGCTAAAATACAAGCTTTTTTTTGCAAGTTTTTATTTAGTTTCTGACAGATAACAAATTTAAGTAATTTCTTTGTACGAAATGGATATCTATCTTCCGTCTCCACTATTTACATACCATAAATAGTGAAGACGGAAATTTACGAATGTGTATCCTGTCTGAACTCACATTTGGCACCTAAAGGTTGACACTAACTGCGCAAGCCATAAGGTCAGTGCTATATGATGTAGGGATACATACGGTAGAGATAGGTAATATATGGCAGAGAGAGAACTATGCCCGGAGTATTGTTGGTAGATAAGGTTCGTAATAAAGAAATACAGTTAAGGAAAAAGGTCATCGATATATACTAATCACTTCTCTCGCAGAAGTGCCAGCGGTTAGAGTATACGTGTCGTGGAATAGAGATTGTGATGAAGAAAACTATTTTCATTTTATCTTAAATAAGTAACAAAAATATTTTAAGGCATTTTCTAGAATCAAATACACAAATTATATCCTATACCTTTAAACGAGCAATTCTTCTATATATATACAGTCAAACCTGGGTAAGTGAGAACTGGATGTGAGAAAAATCTATAAGTGAGAGTAATAGCCAGAACCCGTCATTTTAAGTTTCCAAAACCTCTATTAGCCTAACCTAAACCTCTTAAGAGAGAGCCGTTTTCCCCTCATGGACCTCCGTAAGTGAGACTGCTACTTATCTATACCTCTATAAGCTACAATCGAGCTTTGTTTATTTATATTATTTAGGAGGAACTATAGCTACAATAAAAATACATACATACATAAAAGATACACACGTACAGAAAGTTCTGTTCTGCATCATGTCAAAACGGAAAATTAAAGTACTGTCATTTAGTGATAAACTTAAAATAGTGAATGTGTTTGAATCCGGAGAATCGCGAAATGAAATTCAGAGAGAGTTTAATTTACCAGAATCCACCTATTATAAAATTATATTTATTTTTATTATTATTATTAAATCAAAAGACACCCTTATAAAGTACTTATATGTCGAAATCTAATGAACGTAACATATAAACACTATTAAAAATAATATATGTACATAATATATGTTGTGCATATTATTCACCTAATTTTATTGTATTACATATTCACTACATTCGTACTTGCTGTGACTTGTTATTGTTGCGTACCTCTGTAAGAGAGAAACGCTATATATATACACGGTTTCAACGATTTTCATAAAATTTAGTGTCCAAGGGGTTTCGGGGACAATAAATCGATCTAGCTCCTTTAACTTTTTAGGATTCATTTATAGAAAATGTCGTTTTGTCCGTGTTTTCAGGCAGTGAAAAACTACTACAATATAAGAAGGTAAATTTTGACACAGTGTTAACGATCGTAATAGTTCAAGTGAATATCGGGCCGTCACGAAATCGTAGTGCCTTGGTTCACGTCCTGTCTTCAGTCCAAATTTTTTCCCTTTTTTTTTCAAGCTCCCTTTTTTGTGAGAAAATCTATTATTTCGAGCCCTTTTTTAGCATTTTTTTAAAAATACGAAAATTTAAATTAAACTAATTGCACTCATGATTTTTTATTCAAATAACCAGTTCAGTTTTTTTCTATTATGTCAATAAGATCAAAAAATATTATTCATGTATCATTAGTATGTAATTTGTATTTAAATATAATTTCCAAAAAAAAAAAATATACCGCGCAAAGCTCCATCCAGTTACTATATTTTATTTAACCAAAATAACAATTCTGCCTAACTGACAGAATGACTGACAGACGGCGAGACATACAACATAAGCCTAAATAATCAAAGTCAGACACAATTCGAATAAGACGTTCCTTAGAAAACGTAGGCACAAAAAGGGTTGTCTGTAAATCAAACCGAATGTGAAATAGAAACGTTTATGTACAAAATGATATGAATTTACATTTAACATTCTTTAAACTATGAAAATCAAAATTTGATAAAAATAAATAGGTGATTTTCTCTTGTTTTATATTTCAAAAGTTATAAAACTTGATATAAATATAAATAATAATTGGTGAAATATAATTGATAAATAATGCATTTTTAATTAAATTTTTCATGGCAATGCAAGACTCAACGCGGTTAAAAATCTGTCGGCTTGTAAGTCGTCACAATCATTTATATCAATAGGTAGAGACAATCATAAGTTTATTGACAACATAGATTTCATACATAGATTTCCTTTTGTCTTATATTACGCTACCAAACTTTTTGTTATTTTTATTCCTTATTTACGCGAAAATACTACACGTTGAAATAAAACCACTTATTACGGAATTTATCGCGTTTAATTAACTTCTTTTTTACTTAATTTAATACCCGACGTTTCGAACGCTTTACAGCACTCATGTAGGCAGGACTGACATGTTCAACGTCCAAATGTCATAGTTAACCGCGGTTACCATAGATTTCTAATATTAATTTTTGGTCCGATCTACGCAGAACGAGCTTACAGTATCTTGAAGTCTTGCAGTGGTATGCTTAGGTTTGGATTTAATTTTTTTAATTATAGGACCCCAAACAGATGGAAGCACCCATCCAACTTCTCTATTAGGAAATTAGGATGTTTTTTTAATTTCAATAGTCTCGCGTATCATCCTTGGTAGGAATCGGTGTTCTTATGCGAGCATTTGTGGTTAATTAAATCTGATATATACGGTGGGGATATCTATAAAAACCCGCGTGAAAGATAGTTGTCATATAGGTGATGTGAAGCACCGACGCTATGGGAAGTCTGCTGTCTGTGAAGATGTTCAAGATCGTTTCCATCGATTTTATTCAATGGGTAGTGTTCGCGTAAATTTAAGAAATCATTATGTTTTATTAGGTTTTTCCTGTATCTAGTAGTGGGCCTATACCAATCCTGCCGGTATGGAGGCTGCCATTTTATTCCTTTAAGTTTGCTCTTCTTCAAACCATACTACCCATTGCCAGTTGATTGGTAAGTTACTAACTGGCCACTTTACTAATTTGTTTTGCTATCTCAATTATTTATGCTATGATTTATGGGAGTTGATCGAGCAAGTAGATGAGTTTGTATATTTGGGTTGCGTATTTAGCAGGGATGGGAGATATGATAAGGATATAGAACGACGAGTGAACGCAGGAAACAGAGTAAATGGAGCCCTGCACTCTATTGTGAAGAGTCAAAATGTGTCAAAAAAGGCACGTATGGCAATTCACAATGCTGTGTTGGTCCCTACTTTAACGTATGGGAGTGAAAGTTGGGTATGGCAGAAGAAGCACGAGAGTAGAATAAATGCAGTAGAAATGCGGTCGTTAAGGAGTATGTTAGGGCTGAATCTGAATGACAGGGTGAAAAATTGTGTGATAAGAGAAGAGTGTGGTTTGCAAGATGATGTTGTGATCAGGATTAAGAAAGGAATGCTTCGGTGGTTTGGTCATGTGGAAAGAATGGATGAGGAAAGAGTGACAAAGAAAATTTATGTTGCAGAAGTGAATGGCAGAGTCGGAAAGGGACGTCCTAGGCGAAAATTTATCGACCAAATTGGCGATTTATTGAAAACGGGCCAAATTAGGAGTACCCTTAACCGACGAGCATGCATGCGTAGGTGTATGGATGTGAAGGAGGCGAGAGAGGTGTGTCAGGATCGTGCCAAATGGAAGTCTGTAGTCTCTGCCTACCCCTCTGGGTGACAGGCGTGAGTGTTTATGTTTATGTTTATATGCTGCTATTTTTATTACGTATTTTGTCATGCAATCGAAACCCCGAATATTTACTAAGTGACTTCCTCATGTAGCCATCAATAAGTTACTTAAATTGAATACCGCAAAATATACTTACCGTTAACTTTTAAGAATATAAGTTTGCTAAGTCCAGCTCCAATGCCGTTTCGTGCTTCGCAGAGATAGTGTCCTTCACTATCTTTTGCAACTCGCTCAAATATTAAAGAGCCGTTTTCAAGCACTCTGGAGCTGCCCTCAAATAAAAAATCCTTGTATTCACCCGGTGTGTTACCTTAATGAAAAAAAAATATTTTAATCGTATAAAAATATTTTAAGTCATTGGTTTTAAAAATAACTTATAAAACTAAAAAAAGTTACTAACGCCACAGACCATGTGTGTAGTTTGGTTAGTCATTTAATAGTGATTTTTTTAGTTTGTTACTAAGGATTTTATTATTTTCTCTTTTGGTCACTACTCTATTGAATAATAGTTTGTTTTTCTTTCCATAAACTCACCCACTGCTTTCTTCCAAGTTATGTTAGGCTTTGGATAACCATCTGCTTGACATTGAAGGGTAACATCTTGTCCAGCAGCTACAGCGATGTCATTAGGCTCCAAACGCCATCTTGGTGGCACTGAAAAAAAATTATCATTAGAAAACCTTCGATAAGGTTCTCTAGATATGGCATTGGACCTCCAGATACAAGTAAACAAAATACTTAGCAAGGCTTTGATTGTAAGAACAACTCTTAGAGTAGGGACAGACTGGTCTTGGTTTTTTTTTTTGTATAGAAGAGGAGGCAAACGAGCATGTGGCTCACCTAATGTTAAGTGACTACCGCCGCCCATGATCAACCGCAACACCAGGGGAATTGCAGGTGCGTTGCCGGCCCTTTAGAAAGGAGTAAGCTCTTTTCTTGAAGGTCCCCAGGTCGTATCGGTCCGGAAAAATCACCGGTGGTAAATTATTCCACAGAGAGTCTTGGTGTATACACTTGACCTACGTATGCAACGTACGTTTGGGATCAGACGCTCTTGTCACTTTTTAGCGGACGCACGAATTCCAATTAATAGCATGTTTTCTGCTTCTGAGAGTGAGTTTGAGAAAGATTTACTTAGTCTGACGTTCATAAATAAATATATTCACGCAACAATGAGAACGTTTAGGTATAATTTATAATGCAAACAAATACATGAATATGCAGAATACAATGTGTTTTTTCAGTAATATATAAAATCATGTTTCATGTCTTAACATAAGGATAAAAATACAAAAAACTTTTTTAATATCGCATCTCAACCGCTCCCTTCCACGTTAATAACAAAAATGATAGTAAAGAGTATAAGCACTCACTAGGTTTACCATGTAATTTTGACAACAAAACGCGTGTACGGTGTGAAGGTCTATTTATTTACGACGTGCTACACTTAAGTTCTAGGAACACACTGGTCGTACGTGTGGAATTGCGTACGAGTACCCTTCAGGATCTAGACATCGCGGATCGACATTGCGTCGGAAGCGTGTGATTGCAATACATACCTACGATAAGTGTGTTTCTAATGTATAGTTTTTCATACGTTCAGAAGTCATAATGCGTTGCATACGTTTCATACGTGGGACCAGTTTGTCTCTGCTTTTATTGTTCTAAAAGTAAACATGTTGTCATTAAAAATACTTTTAATGATTAAGTTCTCCTGGTCATTTTCGCCACCACACACCACATTTTGTTTCCCGCTGCCGCCGCTTATGACACCCATAGGATGTAAATTTTTTGAACTGGTACACAACCAAACTGCAGAATAGAAAACCAAAAGAAAATGTGAATGAAAGAAAATGTGTTAAGGAGTAAGGAGGAGGAGGAATACATATTATGCGCTATTAACTATTTCTGGAAAGTATTTGGAAAATGCCTCTGTGGCCGAAATTAACCAGAAGAACATTGTCAACATACTTATACCATTTGTAACAGATAGAAAAGTTATAAATGCAAGCAATTACCATTGACAGTCAGAGGTACAGTGAAACGCTCCGATCCAGCGATATTGGACGCAATGCAGGTATAATTCCCGCTGTGTAGCGATGTTATATGTTCGATTACTAAAGACGCACTGTATTCGTCCATTCTGCGTGTTATAATACCGCTGGGTGCATACGGCGATGAGGTGACAGGTTGTCCATTTTTCTCCCATCGAAATGCGATGGGCAAATCCCCTTCCAAAATCTGACATGATATCGCTGCTCTCATGCCCTCTCTTAGCAAGTTCGTGAGTGGTTGTATCGGCAAAATCTTTGGTCGCACTAAAATACAAAAATAGTTTAATTTTATTTTATTTTTATTTTATTTTTATTTTATTTTTATTTTATTTTTATTTTATTTTATTTTTATTTTATCAACATACACAGTCATTACAGGATGAGCACCCTAATTCGACAGTGTAGCCAACGATACAATACCATATGCCACTCTACTGAGCTCACTCAGCGAACATGAAAACAAACCAGTTTGCTCCGATATGGCGTTGATCACACGCGCGTGATAAAAAAGGATTACGTTATATAAAAAGATTCTCATTAAATCGTAACCTTTTGATTGACGAACCATCAAATGCTTAATAAATAAAAAAAGCTGTCATTTCAAACAATTTAAGTTACTTTATATTGTAATAAAGTGTTATACAAATTGGAGTGGTATTTCTCACCAACGTCATTGTTTCAACGTCTTGAAGATTTATATGTTTATATTTTATTACCCTATTAACCGAGAAATGTTTCCAGCTTAAATTCTCCTGGATGCCGCAAGAACGCTTAATGCGCTAACTTAATTGAATTACGGTTGACTGACTACATCCTCCTTGATGAGAGTATTTACGATGGTTTATGTACTTAAAACAAAATACGACATTCATATTTTACACGCTTTTATTATAAGTTTGACATGTATATAAGATGTATCCATCTATTTATGAATACAATGGAGCTTTATAATTCAGTTTTCACCCACTTTTGAACATAACTATGACGGCCTCATAATCTGAAATTTAGTAAACGTATTAACAGGATACCCAGTAATGTTTTTTCCACACATAGATCATTTAAAAATTACATTTAATTTATTAAGATCTAATGAAATACATACAATATTAAAAAACTAAAAACTTAAATTATCGTACAACCCTACTTCCGAATTATAGTCCCAAGAACGCTGGCTGCGTTTCCCCTCTGAAAAAGCTAAAAGGCTAAGTATAGCCAACTTAGCCTTTGAGCAAGAAAAGAACGTCCCCTCTTATCACCAGCAGCGATGACCAGTCGCGAATGTAGTTCCTTTCGGAATTTATTTTAGTGTGTTAACTCCATAAACAACTCTTGGAATAATTAATTCAAATAAAAGCGTCACATTTTTGATTGTAAAACTGAAAAATTACACATTTATTTTGTCCACATCATGAAATGAATACTTCTTAACATTTTAAACCACTAGACATTATCGCGAATTTTGGAATTAAATTCATTTTTATACACATACAGCTTTCTTCATTGCTGGATTTGTATTAAAACTCATAAAGATTTCGGTAATGTATTTTGTATTAATATAAGTAGTTTTAGTAAGAGAATGACTCACCCAATATTTGCACTTCCACATCTCTCCGAGCGGCGTGCCGTTGTCTGTTCGACGCTTGGCAAGTGTAGGTGCCAGCGTCTTCACCACGTTGCGTCTGCTCTACAATTAACGTTCCATTGGGAAAAACCTTCTGTCGTCGATTTAGAGGTAATGTTTGTCCATCTGATGGATAAATAAACACGTCTATATTATCTTTTCGCTTTTAGTACTCGAATAATTATTTTGTTTTGTTTTGCAACTTTTATGTACAAAAAAGTAGATAGTATCGGACTAAATGCCTAAAGGAACTTTCTTCGAATCAAATATTAGTCTAAGTAGAAATAAGTACATATACAATTAAGAAATAAAGAAGAGATAGAAGCGGAAAAGTTATGTTATTATTTATTAATACTAGCTTTTCGCCCCGCCTTTAGTTTAGTTAGTTATCCGCGTACAAGCAGTAATGTCCACTAAAACAACTTTGAGCTCGCATAATGCGGAGAGCTTAAATTATCACATGGAAACTTTCATATATTTCGGAATGTTTTTGTTTCAATGAGTATTGATGTTGGTTTGCAATAAATAATATATTGAGTGATTAAGCGTCAAAATAGTTTTCAAATTTATAATAGCTTTCATCCCCTATTTTTCCTTTAGGAGTGTAGCAGAGACTACTAAGAGGATATTACCCATAGGTGGAGTATCAAAAATTCTTTAAACAGGTGCTATAGAGTTTCTCATCGAGAACTTATAATATTGTTATCAAAGATATGATTAAAACATGGTAGAGTTTCAAATTTTTGTTTCTAATTTTACCTCCTTCAGGAAAGAGCTATCAAAAATCGTGAAACAAGCAAAAGCCCAAACACCAATTGCTATTGGGTCACCTTTTAAAGGATAAGTAAGGGCGGATATATTTAAGAGTGTCCCCACCGCATTGCAAGTCAAAACTATATTTTCCACGTAAACTTAGGGTACAAAGCTTACTAGTATTTAGGTCTTGGTTATATCTACGGAAAATTAAAAAGTGTGTATTTCGTTATTGTAACTGTAATGTAAGAGCAATTGTAGCAATTATTAAGTTAAAAAAATCATTAAATAATTTTTACCATAGAATATACAATAAACCCGTAAAAAAGGGACATACAAACCATAACAACCTATATTACTCTGTAACAGTATAAATTTTCCAAATAGGTGTCGAATTAATCGGCCCGTAAAATAAAAAGTTTCCTAAGAATTGTAAAACCCTACTTAGAGTTTGAATTTTCAAAAATCTGTTCTAATTGGATGCCTACGTTGGAAAAAGCAATTACTGTTCATAAATGAATGGTAGAACCTTTATCGCTTACAGACAATAGAGTTATTTCCAATTAATAAAAAATTCAAAACGTTGAAGGACTAATTTTGAATAAAAAACAAAATTGTTGCCAGTTTTTTTCATCAGATTTGTTTTCGTTCCATAGTCTTATAGCCGACGGGCTAAAGGGTTACATGTGTAATCATTACAGTGTAAAGGCTTTAGTAAATTTAGTTTATCTATAGGCTCAAGCCTTTGATAAATACAATCTTGAGGGGAAATAAATTTTTTAGACGATAAAAAGATTTTATCTTATTATTGTATTCGTTCAATTTACAATAGTAACAATAATTTAGAAATAAGATTTTTTTTCATGAGAATGAAATTGAGAAGGAGATTGGAAAAGCATCGTTACTAAACACGATTAGAGGCATTATATTTATACATATATTTGAGTTTTTTTTTATAGAAGTAAAGGTTATAAGCGAGCACACAAACCATCTGTTGGTAATCTATTTTAATTTAATGGTTGATTCCTTAGCCCATAGGCACCTACATTTAGAATCAAAATATCACATCACCTCTGTACAACATTCAAAATTAGAAATATTTTACCGCATATATTAACTTATTTTATATTCCCGACGTTTCGAGAACTTTACAGCACTCATGGTCACGGGCGATATATTACTTTCCGCTATGGTGGTACATATAGATTTAGTATACACTTGCGTTAGATTGGCAATGTAAAAGAGAAAGAGCATAGCATATCCTACTAGAACGAGATAGAATGGCTAGATCATACACGTACACGCTATAGCCCTACATCGGGCTGACGTCAATCGTTAGCGAAACAAATCCCGCTTATTTTCGCGGTATCTTTGATTTCGATGTATTAGTAAGTTTTTAAAAGGTGTGATTAAATATGGTGACGTGTGCAGTACCTGAATGCAGTTCATCGAGAATAGAAAATCCACAAAATTGTACATTTCACTCGTAAGTACAATTAAAATGTTTAGAACTCTAAACGCAATATTTTATAACTGGTACAAATATTTTATACACAAATTGTATAGGGAAAAATATCGCACTTTGTTACGATAATACTCTAAATGCGTAAAAATTGTAATAAATTTTTTAACAAATACGTGAATTCCCGCTATGATGTCATCTTATCGATAATATGTTTATAACAAGCAAAGGCATATCTTTGAATGCAGCCTCTTTTAACTTTGTACTTTTTTAACTTCCAATATTTTAATTTTGGCATTATAATAAATACTTTAGTGAGATAAACCCTTATAATGATGAAATTTCCAAAAAATATTGAGGTTAAACAAAAATGGTTAAAAATGATAGAGAAAACAGGGTTCCCAAAAAATATACAACTACATGTAGCAAGCACTTTGAACAAAATTTTTTTTCTCATAGAAGTGCAAAAAGAGTAAATCTGCGTTCTGGTTCAATACCCACATTATTTATGCCGGTGCGTAGTTTTATTAATTATTTATTTTACTGTACATATGTTAATTTCGTTTGCACATGTTCAAATGTGTACAAATTGTTGTCGTCATTTTTTGTGATGTATATTTTTTGTTACAACAAAAGTAACAAAGGAACTTTCAGGATCACTTGATGGAAATGTCTACTGCAGTACATGGTCACCTACAGTCAGCTTCAAACAAAGAAAGCTACAAATGTGTTTTGACTCGTGAAGATTAAGATAAAATACCTTAAAGCTTATAATTACACAGACTCTTTATACTCAACAGGCCGGAATGCGTCGGTGTAAGTACTGCTGCTTATAAGCAGAAATAGGATGGTTAAAACCTCATTTATTCATTTTAGTCATAGATAAGTACATAATATATATACTAATTAAATTTGTAGGTTGTGTTGAAGCCGAAACGCAAAGCATCGTCATATGTCTACAGAGATATAACCCCAGTACCCAGTAGCTCTACTGCAAACGTTTCTGTTATAGACAATTCCCCGTCAAAGAAAAAAATGAAGAAAACTTTTGATATTCTTCGGAGGCGCCTAGATATGAAACAAAAAAAACTGAAAAATATAAAAGCACAAAAAATATAAAAAATCTAGAAAGGCTTCCCTCACTTCAAAATAACATTAGTGCTGTAATGGTATCTAGTTCAAATGATTTGTTGCAGCATCTCATCGAAAGGGTGATTAAAAACACAAAATAAAAAATTAAACAAGAGTAAGATACGCAACTAAAGACATTTGCCCTTACTTTACACTTTTATAGCCCTAGAGCTTACACTTACATGAGAACAAAATTTGACCTGTGCTCACTACATCCTCAAACACTACGAGTTTGGTACCAAAATGTAGGCTCTAAACTCGGCATCATTAAGAAGCCATAGAAACCATAAAGGCTATAAGCAAAAAAAAAAAGATTTGGTCATCGCCCTTACGTTCGACGAAATGTCTATCGGCGAGCACATTGAATTTGACGGCCGTAATCATCATGGCTATGTTGATGTGGGTAATGGTATTTATGGAGATCAAGTAGATAAGGATAAAGAGGTATAGTAATCATGGCAGTGGCAATTAATTCTATTTGGAAGTTTGCAGTTGCTTATTTTTTGGAAGAGGATTTACTGCTTCACAGGAAGCAACACTTCTAAAACAGTGTATTGCTTCATTACCAGATTTTGTAAAAGTTGCATCTGTCACTTTTGATGGCATAGCATCTAATATAAATATGGCACTAATACCAGGAGCTAATTTGAGTACCGCTTCATTTAGACCGTACTTTCACTAAAGACAAAAATATTATGTAATATTAGATGCGTGTCATTTACTAAAGTATTTCTAACCAGAAATACTTTTGCAGAATACAAAATTTTTTATCATCATAATGATATTATTAAATAAGAATTTCTGGAAAATCTATACCAACTTCAACAGGGTGTCGGTTTGCATTTGGCAAATAAGCTAACTAAAAACATATAAATTTTGTAAATCACAAAATGAATGTACGGTTAGCAGCCCAAGTGTTATGTATGTAATTCTGTTTCAACCAGCTTAGAGTTCTGCAAATACGTATTAAAATTACTTGATTTAAAATTGCCAAGGGACAGCAGGTTTTATAAAGCATATAAACAGCATATTTGACATTTTCAATTCCAGAAATATACTCAGCAAGAAGGTCTTAAATGCAAAAAATGTGAGTAGCGAAGCAAAATAATAAAAAAAAAAAAACCTTAAAGTGGCTTTATGTTGATTTTATAGAATCAGGAAAATTAAAGTTTCTTCCGACCTATAAACTCTCTCACGATCATATAGAATAAGTCCATTGTTCAGTACATACGTTGTTACGTGGTGAAAAAAATTGCAAATTAAATTAAATGCGAATTCTGTGTAAATGTACTTTATGGTGAAGTTATGGAAGGTTCACTTATACACATGAAGAATGTAGGTGGCCTCGTTTATCCCTCTCAAGACGTTTACGAGCTTGGTATTCATTCTGAACGAGTTTTTCGAAAATATATGAAAAGGAAAAATGTAAACGAAAATATGTTTCGAAAACTAGTAAACGAATGCCTTGTGTCCTGCAAAAAATATTTTGAAATACTTGATATACATATGTATGATTCGCCTGCAATATCAAATCATAAACACATAATTTTTAAATTAATAATAGAAACTTATTTTATTACTAGATTGAACTGTGAAGCAAAATTGCAAAATACCTCTAAGGAGAGCTTACGACATTTTTACAATAAATTAGTTATTTTTGGTGGAAAATAAAAATCACAAACCTTTTGTTTCTTGTTTTATTTTATGCCCTCAAACATGAATATATTAATTTAATGACACGGACAGAGTGCTCTGTATCGATAATTGAAGTTGATGCATA